AGAAAAACAATTTTTTTTATCTCGTACAACGCCCAAATTGATTAACTGAACCGACCCAACCAATCTGGTTTGGCTTGGTTCGATTTCAACGGCTGGATTTGGTCAATTTGAGTTAAAATTTACCCAAACTGATCAAGTCGATTTTGATTTCAGGTTGAACTCAAATCTAACCTGAATCAAGCCCAGGCCTAGATATGGGAATGGGACCCATCATTGTCGAAAAGAGCCCCTCCCCCATCATGTTATAGATTTTTTGGAAGGTGGGAGGTGGTCGGAAACGGATGGAATTAAAATATTCTATTACTTATCCATTTACTCGTCTTTCAAAAATTACTTTCCATCCATCACTCGCTCCCAACATTGTTCCTTGCATGGAAGGAAATGCCTAAATGACTAATAGGCCATCCTACATGATAGTGTTCTCCATCAAATTCTTTCAACTCAACAGACACCATCCTACGTGTCAAAAGGCGTGGTTGACTAGGCCGAAGTGCTAACGTGTATTCTCCTACTAGAATCAAATCGTTTTCCCATTTTTGAATTCAATAAAAGCTTCCCCAAATCAGATTGAAGTCTAACCTTATCCCCTTTCTTCCAAACACAATTCAGCATTCGTTTTGGAGAATTCAAAAAATTCTTCCTAGATTGTCGAAGGATATCCGTGCCATTGTGGTTAATTCTCTGTTTTAGAAACGTCATGGACAGAGAATAACTCTGGTCGTTGGTTTCTGGTTACGTTCAAAATACCTTCTGTTCTACGATGTGATTTCTTCTCGTGGACAGAGCCTCCAATGCATCTACATGGGTTGCTACGAAGCAAGAATGACGCCCAGAATGAAAAACAGGTAATTTGTACAAGACTGGAAATTTATGAGGTTGGTTATGGTCCTCTTTAGCTACATCCTTATTCGTTTTGTGGTTTGAATGTGATGGGGACAGTTGTATATAGATTGGGTTGTCTTAATGTAGTATTTTGATTGGTATGGCATATGATATAATGGTTGACAATGTTAGTTGTAATGTAGGTAACATCGTGTTATTGAAGTTGTAATCTTTGCATGTTTACTACGTCAACTAGCCATTGGAGGATTTGTAGATATTCTATTTTCTATTAGTCATATTATGAGCCTCTATTCTCGACTGTATATCAGAGTAGTTGGTTAAGATTAAGACTGTAAATAAACTCCAATGCTCGGTAAAATTTAATTCAGAAATTTATTCGAAATATTATCTTGCAGTTTGCTCTCACCCAAAGTAAAACAGTTAAATTTCCTGCAATTGCTAATAAGCTACTGAATGGGACCTTATCAATTGGCATCGGAGAAGGTTGGCAATGGCTACCAACAAAGAAAGAATCGAAATCTTGGAAGCTGGGCTTGGCAATTTGCAGGATGGCATTCACCGAATGGAGTTTGGAATGTCTGATAAGCTGCAGTAGTTGGAAGAAACCCTCAACAAGTTGTCTAAAATGTTCATTACGACCAAAGAAGCATCAAGTTATAGCACTTATGATCGAGTTGGCTCGTCACATTCAAACTGTAAGGAGATAAAGGTGGTCGACGAGTATTTTCATCCAAAATGGCAAAATTAGAATTTTCACCGTACTCGGGAGATGACCAAACCGAGTGTTTCAGTCGAGCAATGCAATTCTTCGAGTACCAAGACACAACATAAGACCTCATTGGCATCTTTCCGCCTTGAGGAAGAGGCCAACCAATGGCGACAATGGTTGCGGCGAGCTTATAGGGAAGAAGTCGCTTAGTGACATGGATGTTTTCAAAGATGAACTATGGGCTTGTTTCAGTCCCACAGAGTGTGAAGATTTTGATGAGCTTTGTCTAAAGTGAGATAGGTCAATTTCCTTTGCTATTATCAGAAGAAATTCGAACAGCTGGGCAATCGAGTTCACAATTGGGCACAGAAGGCCCTCTTAGGAACATTCATAGATGGGTTAAAACCTGAGATATTTGAAGCTATCCGCATGTTCAAACTGTTGAGTTTAAAGCACAAAAGAAATTCTTTTTTTATTACAAAAGAAACTTGTACAAATTTAAACACACACACCAAGTGCACTAACTAATATTATATAAATAATTTCTCTCCACAATTTTCTCTCTCACACACCTTTCATATAAATGTGTGCCTATCTCTATTTCTCTGCTCACTCTTTTTCACGCCTCTCTTCACACATGCACACATATATACATACAGCAACACACACACACACATATATATATAGGTAGCAGAGTCGGTGGTTGAAGCTTCTACTATGGCGGTGGTGGTGAAGTCTAGATAATTCTACCATGTTAATAAAATCATCTTGCAAACTCTGGAATCTTTTAGTCTTGGCTATGGAGTTCACAATTTCATTGTCTTCTAGAATCATGTATTGATG